TATCCTTAGGTATCTATTCCTAAAGAATCCTAAATATTGTTTACAAGAATAAAGGGAAGAGGGGTGTCTGTTGCTTTCTAACTTGGGGAAATTGGTGGGTTTATATATCTGTGAGCTAAGCGACTAAGCAACTGAGTGACTAAGCAACTAAGCGACTAAGCGACTATATAGTTAAGCGACTAAGCGACTGAGCGACTAAGCGACTAAGTGACTAAGCGACTAAGCGACTGGGCGACTAAGCGACTAAGCGATTAAGCGACTAAGCGACATGTTAATAATACAAGATAATAATAATATTCTAAGATAATAAATAAATAATAATATAATAAACTAATAATAAATTCGTTCTATAACAACATTATATTGTAATTATATAGTATTTTTTAATTTTTGCTTTTTTTATATATTTATTTAGATTTTTAAAAATGATGCACCTGCATCATGGTATACCTTTTTATATAATAAAAATACTAGCATGTAATATTTTTAAAATTCGGCATAACAATAATAACAATACAAGTCACAATTAGAGCAGAACTGGTTTATTTTTTATGTGTTAAAACTAATCAAAACTGGTTTTAACATATAAAAAATAAAACCGGTTCCAAACTCTAGTCACAATAACAATAACATATACTCAAACAGCTACTTTATTGTCACGAAATAATAAGTATAGGCATCTTTGCATATTAAATATAGCAATAAATTTGTATTCATTAAGCTTGCATATATCAAATTATAATCATATTAGAATAAGTATATATATGTATATATATACAAGAACAGAAATACATGTGATAAATAAAAGAAGTATTGTATTCTATCTGCAATACTTTTAAACCAAATTTAACTACTTTTTACGTACATATTACTATATAATAGGTTTCAACCTACAGCTAATCTTTATTTAATAAAAAATGAATTAAAATCAGACATAATACAAACTTATATTAAGTACATATACAAGTGCTTGTCAATTTTTATTAATATTTTCTTTAAAAAACCTTACTCTGCCCATAATCTCACATACTTATCTTATGTTTTATTTAAACAAGTCGCAACGTTATAATCTGGTTTCTTGCAAAATCCACAGGTATAGGGCCCATATTTTTTTTTACTTGTTTCCTGTGTTATATCTTTTATAATATCTTTATTATGATGACTTGCTCCCTTTGGCCTTTCTCTACCAACTACTTTTCAAGGATTCTCAAGTTGAATTGTATTAACTTCTGTATTTTCAATAACATTTTGACTAGTTGAAGTTTCTGTTGTATTTTTTTGTATTCTGATCAATTCTTCCTTTTCATCACGAATCTTATTCAAATAATCTTTAATTAATAAAACAAATTCATTATCGTGATATAACATGCATTTGTTTATAGCAGTATGTATAAGACCCCAAACTTTCCTATAAAAAAGCAATTTATTGACGAAATCATTATTTGTAATCTCTTCTGTCTTATCATTAATGAATAGTTGCAACTATACATGCTTGCTTATGATCATATTCATATCAGTAGCTTTATTTTTTATGCTACTGAAACGTTGACCAAAGTGTATATATTCATTTGCTGCATCTAATCGTTGGTGTTTTGGAATCCAACGTGGCACAATTAATTGTAAACTAAACTGTGCCTTG